ACTAAACTTTGCTAAAACTTCCTAAGAGGTCACCGAACTTTGCAAATTGTGACCCCATACATCAATGATTTAGTGACCCTTTAGGAATTTTTTACAAAATTGAGTGACTAATTAGGGTAGTTTTGGAAAAGTTCGGTGACTATTTAGGGTAGTTTCGAAGTTCAGTGATCTCCTAGGAACTTTTTGCGAAGTTCAGTAACTAATTAGGGAAGTTTTGAAGTTCAGTGACCTCTCGGGAACTTTTAGCAAAGTTTAGTGACTATTCAGGGTATTAACCCCACTTTCTCCTACAAAGTTATTACATCCTCTCTCTCTTTCAAGCTCTCATCATTCATACATTTTCGAGCACCTTCTTTCTCCTATCTAAGGCTCCTACTTATAGACCTAAATGCAGCATCTAATCAGTTAAAAACTAACCAACATAGGCTCCACTTGGTTATAGATTCCAACCAAAAAAACTGAAATAAGGCTCCTCTTTCAACTGATTTTTATTCCAACAGCTTTTTGTAAAAGCTAAGGTTGTCCAATTCTTTTTCAAGAAACAATTTTCTTTACAAGATATTCATTTTCCAATTATAAATGTATTTTATAATGTAAAAAAAAATTGATTTTTGTTGGAAATCACTCTTATTTTATTTATCACCTTCAGTGTTGCGGTTTAAATTTGTAATTCTAACACCCTTTCTTATTGGATTAAATTATCACGACAAAGGTGAAATGGAGGGAGACGTAGAGACGCAAGATAAAGGGAGAAGAAATCCTTTTCGAGCAGGTCAAACCTAGCCAATCATCTATTTCTCTCACTCTCTGGTGCATCTTGTCTTCTAAATTCTTCTCAAGATCGGTTCGATCAAGTGAGATTTATTGATCAAATATCTTATTGTTTAATATTTACTTGTAAATGTTAATTTCACCTGCACCATGTCTTGTAGTTTAATTTATTATTCCGGGTTTTGCATAGATCTCGAATAAATGGAAATTTCATTGATAAGACCTTTTCAATTGTAGTCAATATCTTATTACAAATGCTTTTGACAATTGCAGGAGGTATTGCTCTTGCAGCATGCACCGAAACATTGCTTTACCCCTAAATGTCCAGACAACTTCTGCACCTCAACGCATTTTGGAAAAATCAGCTAGCTCTGAGTTCTAGTGGCATTTCACCCCTAAGTCAATGTCTGTTTTCTCGTTTGATCTCCCTTACATTGACAACATCGTCTTAATTTGTGCATTAACTCAACCTATAAGTATTTAAAGAAAGAAAAAAACGATACTTAAGCAAAACTCTATCTGAATTAAATGCTAACTTGTATAGAAAGTCATGCTAAATCACTTTTGTAACTGAGACAGTAAAAAAGTGTAAAATGTCTCATAGTCAAATGAAAAATATATGAAATTGAACTTGATTGACAATCTTATTGTCTTTGCTAGTCATATTGAAATCAATATGAGTATATATATTTTTTCCATTTATATGTCCCTAAAATTTATGAACTACATTATTTTATTCTATCCGTAAAAAATATTTTTTTCTTCTTCAACAACACTATGTTGGAATTATTCTATTATGTGGGCTTCAATTTGATTGCGATTTTTACGGGTTAGATGTATGGTTTGTAATAATACTGTGATTAGACCCAATATGTTAGTGATCACTTGGATTGTTGTACACCTTACGGGCTATATTATTATAATGTGGTAATTTGAAGTAGTGGAAATTATACCAAACCCTATATTTCAAGATCCAACTTCAAAAAT